CACTATCCAGAAATGAGGCCGAAATATCCCGGATACAAACGTTGCCATCTTGCGCATTTTACCACTGGTAAAAGAAGCGAAGTCCGATATACGCACTCAACTAGTGTCAATCACGACATTGTACCTCGCTATAGCATCAAATAACTAATTAAAACCAAAATCTGAAAATGAAAAATGAAAAATGACACTTAAACCAACCTCAGTATGATAAGAAATAGCTGAAGTTTCAACGTGTACTTTGACATTTTTGTTAGGTCCATGTCCCATCTGCTAACATGGAGGAGGGGGATTTAGGACCTATGCTGCAGAGAGTCTTTGGCTTCATTTTTGGGAAGCTGTCATGTCGACCATCTTTATAATCAGCCTGTGGTTGAAACAAACAAAGCAAATCATTTCAAATTTCCTTGTAAAATTTTCAGGTCACTCTCTTTTTTGCCGTTTCAACAAAAACAGAGCATTATGTAACATAGAGGAGTACGTAGATAAACGTGAGAGGAAATGAAAATATCACAAAGCTCCTGACAAGAAAATGGATGAGTGGAATTCCATCTCGCCAGACTAAATGCCCTCTGACCTGATATCGATCTGCTCGAGTGTCCTTGATGTGCCCAGCCAGCACTAAACAGGTTAATAACTCTGATCCCTATCCATGCACTGGCAGGCCAATCTTTTTTTTTTATACAGCACTGCAGGCCAATTTCAGCTGGCCACATGCAGCAATCAGCCATCTGAGAGGGATGAGGTGAAATCCTGCTTCCTCAGGTTCGGCGACCGTCCCCCCGGGGACTCAACCCCCCCTGGTGAAGCAGTCAGTCACAAACCAGCCACTCAACCAGCCAGCCATTAAAACCTTCTCCTGGGAGGACGAGAGGCCTGGAACCATCATCACCTGAGAGTCAAAGAGCCTCCTCTGAGGACGCAATAAATGTTTTTTTAGCACTTTGTCACAAGTCCCGCTGCCCTTGAACGTTTCTCTTTCCTCACTTGTGTGAATAGACTCCTGACACGTTCTTATTTGCCAGTGACCTGCTACATTCAGGACGTTGTTCAAAAACGCTTGGAGCACAAATTTGATGCAGCTACGCCATAAAAAATAAGTAGCAGTGGGGAATGAAGAAGCCAGTATGCCAATATGTCAGTCTGAGGAGCGAATATGATAAAGTGGCTGCTATTTCTGGAGTGTGGACGTGTATCAAGATGTTGCTGGTGTGTGGGATTTGACATAAAATACATATACATACATCCACCAAGGCCCAACAGGCCACTTCATTTCTATCAAGCTGCACCACATTTCACACACTCCACAGTCCATATACCAAAACCCATGAATAATTCCCTTTGAAAACAGTGTAATGCTGATAAAGACCATGTCTTGCAAGGTTAAAGAAAGCAAAAAAAGATTCCTGGATTCGGACCCTGGCGATCTGCACAGAAGATTTAAAGGATTCCCTGACCCAAACAACACCCTCGTACCAAGTTTTGTGGAAATCCATTCAGTAGTTTCTGCACAATCTGGCTGACAAAACAATGGACAGGCGTGAAAACAAAACCTCCTCAGTGGAAGTAACAAAGGGCAGGTGACAGCTCGTGTTCGCCCCCCATCACCGGTGCTTGAAGAATCCAAAAGAAGAACGCACCTGAACCATAACACCTCAAATAGACAAGCATCAAATCTTAAGAGGCGGCTGGCTTTACTGGGTTTTCACAAGAGGCGGCTCATCTGACTCCTACCTTGTTTCATTGTCATCATCCGTTTTGTATCTCGCTTCCGTTGAGGGTGCGTTTCCGTGCTGTGGCTTTTGCTGTCATGTTTTCTTTTAATGCTCTTGCCTGAGACGTCCCAAACTGAGAACGATGCAGAGAGCCGGGGCGGAGTGATGGAGAAGGGTACTCACAAATCAATGTCAGACTGCACTATGGAGACTTGATTTCCTGCAGACCTCTTGCTAGCATCAGTACAAACATAAAAAGCAGGAGAAGAGGGAAACTTTCATAGTGACAGTAATTTGAAGAAAGTGGTGTATGATCTTTCAAGGCCACTTGTGCAGGCTTATTATGTATGGAGTGATCTTCAAGGAACATTCCGACTCATGGGAACTGTGTTTTCCATGTGTCTCTCTCCTGAGGTTTCTTTTCCTTACAGTACACATGACTGCTTGTGTCATACTACAACACCTCTGGGGGGATCAACTAATGGCTTCAAACCTGCGTACAAACACCTTGCACTTAAACATTCATCTCAGTATGACTCAGTTACACCCATTGGAGCTATGCTAATGTGACATGCAAAGTATATGTACTTCCTGTCTTTTACTATGGCCAACATATGCTGATTTTCAAATTGGATTTACGCATGTAACATGAGTGGTAATCCACGTTCATATAAAAATCGCAGAGTAACACAAACATACTATTCTCTCATTTGCAAGTATAAGTAGAAAGGGGGAAATCCCTGAAACAAACACAGATTGAAGGCATCTCACAGGAAACGGTAATTAACGCTGAAACACAGGGAGAGGAGAAGCGTCTTTCGAGACACGTCAGTGGGGCTGGCGGTGCCTGAGGAGCGCTGGAGAGATCACGTCTGCAGTGCTGTCATTAGACATGAGAGGTTTCAGAGAAGGCATCGCACTGATCACCGGGAAGCACGCTGACAGCACATGAAAACGAGGAACTTGTGTATCAATTCATACTAGTCTTTTTCTTCCCCGTGATTTTTTTTTTTTTGCTCCCTCTAAACTGCTCCCTCATCATTCCTCCTCCTTTGCTCCTCTACACTCACACATATCCACCAGCACACTGTGGGATTCAACATCAAAGTATGATGGAACGAGGCACATCATTAGCAGAAGACAGAGGCGAGGGAGGATGAAATCATTTAGACGCCGCTGTGGAGAGGGAATTACTACGCCTGTCGGGATGAGGGGAATGGGGACGGGAGGAGAGGGAATGACAAGAGGGAGGAAGGGAGGGGTGATAGAGGAGAGGGAATGCGTACAAATGATGGAAAAATGAAATGTCAACATCTGCGAGAGAGCTAATGAGCGATGGTGGTGAGGAGAAAAGAAAAGAAAACAAACAAGATCAAGCCACAAATTCAAGAAATGACGAACTAGAACATGTTCGTCAAGACCACGGAGGTGAGCTGGGTGCTGGCTATTTCCTGATAATACATCATGAGCGTGGGAATCAGCTTCCCTCACTGCAGTCATCTCCCATCCTCAATGATCCTCCCCGCCATGCACTCCGGTGTCAGCGGGCCAGGCGGCCCAGTTTGACAGGCTGAACACGGTAATTGCCAGAGAATGTTTTAAACATGATGCCATCGCAGACCCAAGTCGCACACGTCGGGTGCTAGATAACAAGGGGGGGGTTGTCAATGCTCTCTGCAACATGATGTGAATGTTGAACTCTTCTGAATCGCTGCACCTTTTACATAAAAGATATCATAAAATGTTTCCTGGTCACTGGGTGATCCAGTTTTTGTGTCTTCAAGCAAAGCGCAGACGAGTGGATGCGAGTGAATTTACATTATAAAGGGAGATTTTAGCATCATGCAGCTTGGATCTTTGTAGATTTGGCAACATTCATAACATTAAAACTATCACAGCTCTCTCTGAGGTACGTGCAGAGATGTGGGAACAAAGCAACAAACACGAGCTGTCACGGCATCTTTCAGGTTTTAAACAAGAGACGGCCACAATTACCCAAACTCTCTGTTATAAACATTCATCCCTGCAGAGTTGGGCCATATGGTGATGAGTGGCACTTGTATGTTGATGAGTAGAGAATACCGTACCTCAACTTTTAGATAAAATGAATCTTTTTCCCCATTAACACCCAGGAATCTCTTTGTTAACCTGCATTACATCCAAATGGACCTGTTATTCATCATAAGTGATACAGATAATGGATGGATGGACACTAAAAAGTACAAATTATGTACAAAAGTACGAATTATGTCGAAGCTTTAGTGGCTCCTTTTCAGCTGTATTATTACTATTCCTTTATCATTCATTTGTTTTTACAACTGTGGGATGTGGGCATCGTGACACATGGTGTGGGGAGGCTTCAGACCAAATATGGGAGATGTGCCTCCCTGCACTAAATTGAGATCACCTCCAAAGTCACTCATGATCTGACCTTTCTGTAGAATAAACCACGACGCAGATGAAGCTAGACTCCACCAGTTACACTTGTCTGCCTACCTGCATCCTGCATCAGGGAACTTTGTTGTATTGGTGTTGCAATTGTACATTTTGACAACCACATTGTTTTAAATTGGAATTTAACAATAAATTAGAGATCGCAATCTACCAAATCCATGCTTCTCTTTAAAAAAAAGAATAGTGGGCTTGATAAAAAAGGCTCATAACTTAGCGGGTAAATACATCTGTTTGTTCTGATGGTCAGTATAAAAACCTGAGGCACTGTTAATCTGATATTACAAAGTTCTACGTGTCTCTTTACCTCTGTGTCTCGCAAAAACATAACAAAAAAAACTCTCACAAACACACAAAGCCTTGGGGCCGTCACAGATAACAGCCCTCCCCTTCTATCCCTCAAAATGCAATTAGCCATTATGTGGGCCTCTATAATCTGCCATGTTCATTTTATTTGCCTCTGATACAGCAGGGGGGCTTATCTCGCCGGTCTTTAAACAGAGCACCGCTCGCGTCCCCCGGCAACAGGAAAAGCCAAAGTCAAAGTTATCGAGCCTGGCCGAAAACTAAAGAAGAGGATAAGACAGGGTTAGAGAGACGGAGGGGAGAGAGAGGCTCCCTCAGTTTGACTGCACTTCACAGCATGAAAAGAAGAAGGTTAGTCATCGAAGCCCTGTGAGAAATGACCTGATCTGGGATGCGGGGCAAACTGATGACCTTCTTTTTTCTGTGTGTGCATCTATAAGCATTTCTGTTTGTGAGCAAAATAGATGGACTGGGACACAGATATGAAATCTAATCTCAGGTCATAATGGTGTGGGCGTGTGTGTGGTTTACCGTCGTTGCCCTGGTTCCCCTCTCTCTTCAGCATCTGTACCGCCCCCACGTACTTCTTCAACTGGACCTTCAGGACCTCATTCTCCCTGCACAAATAGACACACGCAAGCAACACACACACACACACACACACACACACACACACACACACACA